GTTGGTGTTGGTGTTGGTGTTGTTGTTGTTGCTGCTGCTACTGCTGCTGATGATGAAGAAGTGCTGCGCTGCTCCTGCTGCGGCTGCGGCTGCTGTTGATCCTGTTGCTCCTGTTGCTGCTGCTGCTCTTCCTCCCGAAGCTCAAAACGCGCCCTGCCGGCCGGACAGGGAAACACAGTGGCCTTGAAGGACGGAACAGTGCCAAAATCGAAACCAAAAACTGCCTAAAGTTCCTTCTGAAACCCTAGAAAAACAATAGTTTTCGACCAGTTTTTTGTACCACTTTTTGTAAAATGAGACATAGTGAGACATAGAACCCTCCTGCTGCTCCTGTTGCTGCTGCTGCTCTTCCTTCCGAAGCTGAAAACGCACGCTGCCGGACAGGGAAACACAGTGGCCCTGAAGGACGGAACAGCGCCAAAATCGAACCCCAAAACTGCCTAACGTCCCTTCTGAAACGCTACGTAGAAAAACAATAGTTTTCGACCATTTTTTGTACCGCTGTTTGTACAATGAGACATAGTGAGACATAGAACCCTCCTGCTGCTCCTGTTGCTGCTGCTGCTCTTCCTCCCGAAGCTGAAAACGCACGCTGCCGGACAGGAAAACACAGTGGCCCTGAAGGACGGAACAGCGCCAAAATCGAGCCCAAAAACTGCCTAACGGCCCTTCTGAAACCCTAGAAAAACAATAGTTTTCGACCAGTTTTTGTACCGCTGTTTGCACAATGAGACATAGTGAGACATAGAACCCTCCTGCTGCTCCTGTTGCTGCTGCTGCTCTTCCTCCCGAAGCTGAAAACGCACGCTGCCGGACAGGGAAACACAGTGGCCCTGAAGGACGGAACAGCGCCAAAATCGAACCCAAAAACTGCCTAACGTCCCTTCTGAAACCCTAGAAAAACAATAGTTTTCGACCATTTTTTGTACCGCTGTTTGTACAATGAGATATAGTGAGACAGAGAACTCTCCTGCTGCTCCTGTTGCTGCTGCTGCTCTTCCTCCCGAAGCTGAAAACGCACGCTGCCGGACAGGGAAACACAGTGGCCCTGAAGGACGGAACAGCGCCAAAATGGAGCCCAAAAACTGCCTAACGTCCCTTCTGGCACCCTAGAAAACAATATTTTTCGCCAGGTTTTTGTACCGCTGTTTGCACAATGAGACATAGTGAGACATAGAACCCTCCTGCTGCTCCTGTTGCTGCTGCTGCTCTTCCTCCCGAAGCTGAGAACGCACGCTGCCGGACAGGGAAACACAGTGGCCCTGAAGGACGGAACGGTGCCAAAATCGAGCCCCAAAACTGCCTAACGTCCCTTCTGAAACCCTAGAAAAACAATGGTTTTCGACCATTTTTGGTACCGCTGTTTGTACAATGAGATATAGTGAGACATAGAACCCTCCTGCTGCTCCTGTTGCTGCTGCTGCTCTTCCTCCCGAAGCTGAAAACGCACGCTGCCGGACAGGGAAACACAGTGGCCCTGAAGGACGGAACAGCGCCAAAATCGAGCCCCAAAAACTGCCTAACGTCCCTTCTGAAACCCTAGAAAAACAATAGTTTTCGACCATCTTTTGTACCGCTGTTTGTACATTAATGAGACATAGTGAGACATAGAACCCTCCTGCTGCTCCTGTTGCTGCTGCTGCTCTTCCTCCCGAAGCTGAGAACCGACGCTGCTGGACAGGGAAACACAGTGGCCCTGAAGGACGGAACGGCGCCAAAATCGAGCCCAAAAACTGCCTAACGTCCCTTCTGAAACCCTAGAAAAACAATAGTTTTCGACCATTTTTTGTACCGCTGTTTGTACAATGAGACATAGTGAGACATAGAACCCTCCTGCTGTTGCTGTTGCTGCTGCTGCTCTTCCTCCCGAAGCTGAAAAAGCACGCTGCCGGACAGGGAAACACAGTGGCTCTGAAGGACGGAACGGCGCCAAAATCGAGCCCAAAAACTGCCTAACGTCCCTTCTGAAACCCTAGAAAAACAATAGTTTTCGACCATCTTTTGTACCGCTGTTTGTACAATGAGACATAGTGAGACATAGAACCCTCCTGCTGCTCCTGTTGCTGCTGCTGCTCTTCCTCCCGAAGCTGAAAACGCACGCTGCCGGACAGGGAAACACAGTGGCCCTGAAGGACGGAACAGCGCCAAAATCGAGCCCAAAAACTGCCTAACGTCCCTTCTGAAACCCTAGAAAAACAATAGTTTTCGACCAGTTTTTGTACCGCTGTTTGTACAATGAGACATAGTGAGACATAGAACCCTCCTGCTGCTCCTGTTGCTGCTGCTGCTCCTCCCGAAGCTGAAAACGCACGCTGCCGGACAGGGAAACACAGCGGCCCTGAAGGACGGAACGGCGCCAAAATCGAGCCCAAAAACTCCCTAACGTCCCTTCTGAAACCCTAGAAAAACAATAGTTTTCGACCATTTTTTGTACCGCTGTTTGTACAATGAGACATAGTGAGACATAGAACCCTCCTGCTGTTGCTGTTGCTGCTGCTGCTCTTCCTCCCGAAGCTGAAAAAGCACGCTGCCGGACAGGGAAACACAGTGGCCCCCGCCAAAATCGAGCCCAAAAACTGCCTAACGTCCCTTCTGAAACCCTAGAAAAACAATAGTTTTCGACCATTTTTTGTACCGCTGTTTGTACAATGAGACATAGTGAGACATAGAACCCTCCTGCTGTTCCTGTTGCTGCTGCTGCTCTTCCTCCCGAAGCTGAAAAAGCACGCTGCCGGACAGGGAAACACAGTGGCTCTGAAGGACGGAACGGCGCCAAAATCGAGCCCCAAAACTGCCTAACGTCCCTTCTGAAACCCTAGAAAAACAATAGTTTTCGACCATCTTTTGTACCGCTGTTTGTACAATGAGACATAGTGAGACAGAGAACCCTCCTGCTGCTCCTGTTGCTGCTGCTGCTCTTCCTCCCGAAGCTGAAAACGTACGCTGCCGGACAGGGAAACACAGAGGCCCTGAAAGACGGAACGGCGCCAAAATCGAGCCCCAAAACTGCCTAATGTCCCTTCTGAAACCCTAGAAAAACAATAGTTTTCGACTATTTTTTGTACGGCTGTTTGTACAATGAGACATAGTGAGACATAGAACCCTCCTGCTGCTCCTGTTGCTGCTGCTGCTCTTCCTCCCGAAGCTGAAAACGCACGCTGCCGGCTGAAGGACGGAACGGCGCCAAAATCGAGCCCCAAAACTGCCTAACGTCCCTTCTGAAACCCTAGAAAAACAATAGTTTTCGACTATTTTTTGTACCGCTGTTTGTACAATGAGACATAGTGAGACATAGAACCCTCCTGCTGCTCCTGTTGCTGCTGCTGCTCTTCCTCCCGAAGCTGAGAACGGACGCTGCCGGACAGGGAAACACAGTGGCCCTGAAGGACGGAACAGCGCCAAAATCGAACCCAAAAACTGCCTAACGTCCCTTCTGAAACCCTAGAAAAACAATAGTTTTCGACCATTTTTTGTACCGCTGTTTGTACATTAATGAGACATAGTGAGACATAGAACCCTCCTGCTGCTCCTGTTGCTGCTGCTGCTCTTCCTCCCGAAGCTGAAAACGCACGCTGCCGGACAGGGAAACACAGTGGCCCTGAAGGACGGAACGGCGCCAAAATCGAGCCCAAAAACTGCCTAACGTCCCTTCTGAAACCCATAGAAAATGATGCTTTTCGCTCCTTTTTCCTCTTGCTGCTGCCATGAATTTTAGCTACCTTTACATCTGGTCCCCAAATAGGAAAAGACAATGAAAAAAATCACCTCCCGGGGGCGAAACACCATGCCTCTGAAGGACGGAGAAGCTCCAAAATTGCACCCCGAAAATGCCTAACATGACTTCTGAAACCCATAAAAAATGATGCTTTTGGCTCCTTTTTCCTCTTGCTGCTGCCATGAATTTTAGCTACCTTTACATCCGGTCCCCAAATAGGAAAACACCATGGAAAAAATCACCTCCCGGGGGCGAAACACCATGCCTCTGAAGGACGGAGAAGCCCCAAAATTGCACCCCGAAAATGCCTAACGTGGCTTCTGAAACCCATAGACAATGATGCTTTTGGCTCCTTTTTCCTCTTGCTGCTGCCATGAACAGTAGCTACCTAAACATCCGGTCCCCAAATAGGAAAACACCATGGAAAAAATCACCTCCCGGGGGCGAAACACCATGCCTCTGAAGGACGGAGAAGCCCCAAAATTGCACCCCCAAAATGCCTAACGTAACTTCTGAAATCCATAGAAAATGATGATTTTGGCGGCTTTTTCCTCTTGCTGCTGCTATGAATATGAAGTTTGGCTACCTTTAAATAGTAGTAGTAGTAGTAGTAGTAGTAGTAGTAGTAGTAGTAGTAGTAGTAGTAGTAGTAGTAGTCCGAAACAAGAGTCAAAAGTATTATTCCCTGGCGCGCTCCCCCCTTGCGTCTGCCGGGGTCGGCGGATAGGATGCAACTATAAATGGCCATTTTCAATAGCTATGTTAAAATATACCAACACTCAAACTTATGCATGAACATATATATCATCATCATACATACATACATACATACATACATACATACATACATACATACATACATACATACATACATACATACATACATACATACATACATACATACATACATACATGCATCCATGCATCCATGCATCCATGCATCCATGCATCCATGCATCCATGCATCCATGCATCCATGCATGCATGCATCCATGCATGCATGCATGCATGGATGCATACATACATACATCCATGCATCCATGCATCCATGCATCCATGCATGCATGCATGCATACATCCATGCATCCATGCATCCATGCATCCATGCATGCATGCATGCATGCATACATACATACATAGATACATAGATACATACATACATACATATATATATATATATATACACATTGTACATGTATACAGTATATGTTTCATGTTGAATAGTTTATAAGTTTGATCTTTGGATCCCCCAACGTTGACGCAGCGCCCCTGTCGGACATGGCAGGTTCCAGAGAACCTGGCGGATCGCGTGGATCCGCCCGCAATGGATCCGCAGGCTGCGGATGCGGAGGAACCACAGGAGGCGGCTGCGGAAAAAAGGGTGGTGAGAGGACAAAAAATGGTGGAAAAACTGGAGATTTTGAAGCACTTAGAATGAGCATTCTATGATAACAAATATAATATGCTGATATCTTGGAAACTTAAATGTGATTTAACCAGCTGAAATGGGGATTTAATCAGTGAAAAAATGGAATTTAGACACTAAAGATTGAGATATTTGACAGTCCGGAAGGTTTAGCGTACCGGAAGATTGAGATTCCTGTTGAAATCCTTCTTCAATATCGTAATATTTACATTCCATTTCTTAATTCATGCCACCAAAAAGATACGAAGACCTGTGCGTGCCTCACCCTGTCGGAAGATCTTAGGCGATTGCAGAAGTGGCCGATCGGGACTCCTTCAATTGGGGCTATGATCCAGCCCCTTGGGGCGAAAGGACCATGCGGGAAAGCCATGTCATTTTTCAGCCATGGTTGGAGGTACAGTAATATGTGCTAATTGATATGGAAAACTACATAAAAAATACCATAGGTAATTAATATTGAACAATCCCATAAAGTGGTAATTCATATTGACAAATCTTATAAGCCATTTTTTCTGGTGATTAATGTTTAATTGTAGTTTAGTTTAGTTTGTAACATGTGGGTAACTGAGGGATGTTTGTTGTTGTCCGGATATCTGTTTCCTTCTAGTTTGATATAATTCTGTGGCAAGAAGGAATGTCGGTTGCCCCCCCATCCAATGTACCTTTTTCACAGTTTTTGGATGTTCCCGGCAACAGGGAAGCATATTGAGTTAGATTGGACCATGTTATTCTACTAGGATCCAGCGCGAGCCACAATGCTCAAGTCACTTTGAAAGTGGGTCGCAGCCATAGTATGCCCTGCTGCACTGATAGACAGGTATCAAAGGATATCAAAGGTATCAGGTGGAATTAGCATCCAACTTATATCCAATGTTATCCAATTACATCCGATTGAAATGATTTTCTTGAACATTCGGAAAGTTTTTAGTTTAAATCAACATATATAGTATGATCATTCCCATCCGATACATTTTTTCTGACTATTTCAGAGTGACCCTTTTGTCATTCAGTTGGCCTCATCGCCAAAGACCACCTGAGGTTCTGTACAATGTACCTGAAGGATCATATGCCAGCAATCCCAACAACGGCTCCAGAATCAAGGACTGCCAAGGGCTGTTTTTTTGAATCAGACATGTTCCCTTTTTGCGCTGGACATATTCAGTGGCCTACGTTAGGTAAGTGTGGGCTCAGTCCAGCTGCACATGTAGAATGTGCATCTTGAGATCTAATACTAATACTGCAAATCTAGATCGGATCTACATACTTCGTTCATACATACATGTATTGATATAAATCACCGTATCTGATTTCCGCAAGCATCTATACTGGATATTACATGTTTATGCCAGCGGGGGGAAAACCGCGCGTGTAGTCGTGCAGATTTTTTTAATTGTTGTATGTTTCTCTGGGGTTTCGGGTGGGGGGGTGGGGGGGTGGGGGGGGATGTTAACGTTCATTGGACTTGCACACTTACGTGATGCTACGCTACTGCACGTTCTCTTCAATTTACACAACGACGTGATGCTACGCTACTGCACGTTCTCTTCAATTTACACAACGACGTGATGCTACGCTACTGCACGTTCTCTTCAATTTACACACTTACGCGATGCTACGCTACTGCACGTTTCTTGGCTAAAACATCCCAGACTTTCTTGCTGCTACGCTTTGAACTCTTTCATATTACATATCAGACTTTCTTGTTGCTACGCTTTGAACTCTTTCAAATTACATATCAGACTTTCTTGTTGCTACGCTTTGAACTCTTTCAAATTACATATCAGACTTTCTGCTTGCTACGCTTTGAACTCTTTCATATTACATATCAGACTTTCTTGTTGCTACGCTTTGAACTCTTTCATATTACATATCAGACTTTCTGGTTGCTACGCTTTGAACTCTTTCATATTACATATCAGACTTTCTGGTTGCTACGCTTTGAACTCTTTCATATTACATATCAGACTTTCTTGTTGCTACGCTTTGAACTCTTTCATATTACATCTCAGACTTTCTTGTTGCTACGCTTTGAACTCTTTCATATTACATGTCAGACTTTCTTGTTGCTACGCTTTGAACTCTTTCATATCCATAACAGTTTGAACACACGCATCAATGGCTCAGTCACCCAAATCTGCTGCAAGGAGTAAGAGTTTTGCAGTGGCGATGGCAAAACAATGACAAAAATGACTTGATGTCTGTCACAGGCCACGCCTTGAGCAAAAGACTGCGGAGCTGATGAATGATAAAAAACGTCGCGCTCTGAACACATTTTCCCCTGTAAAAACCAATACATCATTAAAATGCACTTTGAAAATCACCGGGATTTTTGAACAGTTATCTGATCATAAAATTGCTACGGGGCCACAGCGCCAGCCACATAGAATTGCAAAAAATGAACAACCGCTAGCGCGGTTTTCCCCCCGGCGGGATGTTTATGCTGACGGACTTTTTACCGTCCAGCAAAACGCATAGATTTTGATTGGGTGGGGTGGGGTGGGGTGGGGTGGGGTTGGTCAATAACGTTCATTGCCACTTACACACATACGTGATGCTACGCCACTGCCCGTTCTTCTGCAACTTCCACACATACGTGATGCTACGCTGGGGTGGTTGTATATATATATATATGATATATGTATATATTTACACATAGTATCATATAGATATAGATCTAGATAGACTTTTAAAGCTGTTGAAATAAACATAGATATAATTATATATTTGAAAGCTGTTGAAGACAACTGCGACATTCATCAAGCAACTGTCTTGATTCGACTTCGGGCCTCTTGAAGAAGAAAAAACGCTGAGAGGGTTGTCGATGGAAAAGTTAAACCCTCAAGTTCGGAGACCACTTTTTTCAGTCAAAATTGACGTTTCGCTATGGCGAAACGATAATTTAGTAATAAATATGCGGACGGTGAAAATTCCGCCGGGATGTTTATGTAGCTGGATATCTGACCTCTTGGAACAGGGATACCGTCCAAAAACGGCCCTACATGGTATAATATACACATTATTTACCGTACATAACTGGCTGTTCAGCTTGTAATAATGTATAATTAATCGTATTTTATGTATGAATATATACATATATATATATATGTATATAGTGATATCTCTATATATGATTAGATGTATGTATGTATATGGATTTGTTTTTCTACCAATATATGTATGTATATATATATATACATATTTTATGTATGTATAGATGTATAATGATGTATGTATGTATGGAGATATGTATATATGTTATGGTACGGTATGGTATGCTACAGCATGGCATGGCATGGCATGGTATGGTAGCGATGTAATGAAATGTAGTGTAATGTAATGTAATGTATGTATGGATAGATAGGTAGGTAGGTAGGTAGACATATGCATTTTTGTTTACAGATACATTTATATATATATATATACACATATTATGTAGATATGTATACATATACATATATGCATTTGAATACCTTTACATATGTGTATATATTAAATGTATACGTATACATATATATATATATAGATATATCTATATATATACGTGTATACATGTAGATATATGTATTATTTTGTACGTGTACATATATAAATACGTATATACTCATATGTATTCATATTTACATGCGCCTGCGGGGTTTAATGATCTTTCATTGAATATCGTCCGGCGCTGGAGAAGTTGTATGTTTCATGCTAGCAGGGAGCTAAGGAGTTATAGGGAGCCACGGAGCTACAATCGGAGCTACAATAAAGTATAAAGTTTCTCAAATTGCTAAAAACCAATCAAGTGTAGTTTTATATACCCAATGCACCGTATGCTATTATAGTTCATTCAAAGGGTTGAATTGTTATGATCCCGGATGATTGGCCATTTGTGTCCGGAATATCGCAGGCAAAATAAGGCACAACATCACATCACATTGTTACTAGACATATTTCTACTTGTGTATCTCCATTTGTTCTGCCAATCTCTGTGTGTGTGTGTTGGCTATCTCTGAATGTTTTTGTTGGTGCAGTCCACCTATGTATATATAGGTTTGCATGCTGTTGGTTGTTGTCCAATATTCGATCCTCATGTTCACATGTCTTTCACTATCTCAACCATTAGTTGATGATGACAATATATATATATATAGTATTCACCCCGCTTCGCGTGGGGTGGCCGCCCACACCGCAGGTTTATTTCGGTCCGTGAGAGGGGCTAAGGGTGGTTTTCCCCCGTGGGGGCTCTTCAAGCTAAGAAGTTTCAATAAGAAATCCTTCCAAAACATTGTTTTTGACAGTGTTTTTCCAATGTTTCCAGTCAAACAGACGGTAATTTACACGTTTTTTGCCATAAAGGCAGTAAATCCTTCCAAAACATTGCTTTTGACAGTGTTTTTGTAATGTTTCCAGTCAAGCATACGGTAATTTACACGTTTTTTGCTATAACGTCAGTCCAAAACACTTGTTTTTGCAGTGTTTTCAATGCTCTGGCATCCAAAAACCCTGCAAAATCTTGCTATGTACAATGTTTTTTTCATTTTTGGCCGTTTTTCCATTGCCGGAAAGCTACCAAAATGACCCAAAATTCCATTTCAATACCCTCTTGCGCTCAGACACCCAAAAATCCTCGAAAAATGTCGAAAACACCACCGTATTCTGGTCTCGGTGCGAAACCGTTTTTGGGGTCTGGTCTCGGTGCGAAACCGTTTTTGCCCCCCCCCCCCAGCTAAAGCTGATATAGCGACTGCTATATTAACAAATGTCATTGAGCATTTAGTGTTGCTGTTGCCCCCCAATAAGCACGCCTTCACCGCCAAAGCGGTGTGGGCGGATTTATTTGTTAATTAATTTATTAATTGGTAGTATGGTGAATTTATGTCTATGTGTATGTGCATATATACATATAGATCTATATCTATATCTATATCTATCTATATATTTATCTATCTACCTATCTATATTTCTATCTATCTACCTAGCTATCTACCTATTTATCTATCTACCTATCTACCTATCTGACTATCTACCTATCTACCTATCCATCTATTTATCTACCTATGTATCTATTTACCGCCTATCTATCTATCTACCTATCTACCTATTTAATACCTATCTACCTACCTATCTATCTAATCTAATCTTTTCCTATCCTATCCTATCTTTTCCTATCTTATCCTATCTTATCCTTTCTATCTACCTATCTATCGATCTAGCTATCCATCTATCCATCCATCCATCTATCTATTCCTCCTGCGACCTCCTTGCCGGAACCAGCTTGACTTCCAGGAGTTTCGGGAGATGATTTCCGCGTTGCATAAGAAAAAACTGGGAGTGGTGATGGATGTGGTGTTCAACCACACTCTGGGAAGCGGCCCTGAGAACCCCAAGAGTGTCTCGGTGAACCATGGACCTGGGAGGATGGCGATTTACTCTCTGCTCATCTTCACATGGCTGGTAAATAGCGAAAAACCGAAGGTGTTCTAGGGCAGAATCATCTGTACATATGACCAGAAGGTAAACGGCAGGCGAAAGGTTGTAAACGAGGCCGCCAAGCAGCTAACATGGGTGTTTTTTTTCTCACCTGGAACAATACAGGAGAGAAAACATGGAAAGGGATGATTCTACAAAAATGCAAGATGGTCAGGAATAGTGGCTATGTCGCCATCAATATGATTGGTACATGTTGGAATAGCTGACACATATTTTGTTGACCCTATGTCAATCATGGAGTATTGATTTCCCGACACCACTCATGGAGCAATGGTGTACTTGCAAGATTCCCACATGGTGCAATTCGTTTGTTGCCCCCCACGGGAAATTATTGATCCAATGAGCCGCAGATATTCTGTGGGCACCCACCGCATCAGATTGCCTTGAACCACAGTTGCTTATCCATTCCCAGTGCAGCTGTATTTTTCACACGTCAAAAGATAACAGTCAAGATACTGATTCGTTCAGATGATCATTGTATATCACTGTACACCCCTCAATTTGTATATGGTTTTGTCTGAAAATAGGGTACCTCTAAATCCCTTGGTGAATCATCGTTTTCCCGTCATTTTCCCTATTAAATGGTTACAAAGAACGGGGTATGCCCTATTTCCAGACACCCCTCATTTGTCTATACCTGGCGGCACTTGACCGGCAAGGCGTGTTGGACAAATGCGTTCCAGGGTATTATCATCGTCGTGCAGAGGATGGCAGCTACGAGCACTCCACCTGCCACTTGATGCGAGACTTTTTGGAAGTAATAGAGCGAGGGCTCACGCTTGCTAGATCTATGGCTTATATATATAATTATATAATAGATGATAACTTATATTAGTAGCATATAGTAACTCCATTATAGTGTGTGTATATATTGTCGATAATCCAACTTCACCCCCAAAATGACTGAACAAAATCTGGTTGCCTCAAGCGAGTCGAAGCTTCTATCAGACCTGTGGAGCGCCACCAGATCGAGGGGTCCACCGGTGGTCAGATGCTACCAGACATTTTCCTGTATATATCTGTTTATAGATATAAATAATATATATATATATTATGTCTATATATTATGTCTATATATTATGTCTATATATTATAAAATATATATTATAATAATATAATATATTAATAATAATAATAATATAATATATAAATAATAATAATAATATATATATGTATATTCGTAATATAATATATATATATATATAATATACTATAACATAATATAATATAATATAACATAATATAATATAATATAATACAATATAATATATTAAAATATATTTTAATATAACGTAATATGATATAATATAATATTTTTTTTTTTTATATATATATTATTATAATATAATTTAATATAGTATAATGTAATATAATATAGTATAATATAAGATAATATAATATAATATAATTTAATATAATATATTATATTACGTTATATTAAAATATATTATAATATATTTTAATATAACGTAATATAATATAATATATTAAAATATATTTTAATATAATATAATATAATATAATATAGTATAATATAATATATTATAATATAGTATAATGTAATAGATAAGATAATATAAGATAATATAATATTTATATATATATATATATGTATTACTGATACCACAATTGAATCGCCAGTTGGGGAAAAAATGAGTTGCACCAGTGATTTTTTTTTTTTCTGTGGCGCCAGGTGCGAACAATACCGCCACGGAGCGCTACATGATGGGCAGATTAGTCTGTCCCTGGGCACGAAGCCGTGTACTATATATATATACATACATTATATAGTAGCTAAGTTGAGGCAGAGTTCGGTTTACTTTTGGGGTTTATCTCGGAATGTATAGTCCTTGATGGGTTTCGCAACATACCTGAATCAGGGCCTCACCTTGTGATCCGGAACCCCATCGGAGAATCCATTGTTTCCTGTATTACGTAAGACCCAAAAAGATAGATAGCAGTAAATCATCACGAATCTTGCACAGGATTCGAATCTTTTCGACCTTTTTGGGGCTTGCCATAGATGTTTCCCGAAACGAAGCAGGAAACGATGCATTTTTTGTAGGTCAGCCGGTCAGCGGCCCCAGGTGATAGTGTGCTCCATTGGGTGACCCAGCATCTTGGAGGACAACTGAAGGCACTGCAAGACTGCAAGAAGGATTACCGTTGTTATTTATTTGGTTGGTGGTTTGGAACATTTTTTATTTTTCCATATATTAATATATTGGGAATAATCATCCCAATTGACTAATATTTTTCAGAGTGATTGAAACCGCCAACCAGTTATATATTTAGATATTTAATTCCATAGATTTATATTCACTGTATATATATATATATATTTATTATTTTATTTTTACATAATATTTAGTTATATATGTATGTCTATAACCAGCAAAAGCGGTGATTTAACCCGCAAAAATATGGGCAAAATCATGGTAGCATGGCATGGCTATAGGGAGTTGACCCTGCGTGGCTTTTCGTGTTTCAACATTTGCTGGTGGTCAGTCGACTGAGGTTCAATCGAACCATACTGCCAATGAACGCCTGTTTTCAAGGAATCAAGGGACACCATGGCAATCTCCAGTAGTAGTGAGACGGCAATATATCCCGCCAATCGCACGTGAGCAGTGTCTAAAACCCGGGGTCAAAACATGTCAAAACATGTTGGGCATGATCATAATTGATGAAGTTGGAAAACAGTTCTCAACATTTCCATACAAGTTCCATATAAGTTCCGTGAAAATTCCATAAAAGTTCCATATAAGTTCCATATAGATTCCATATGATAATCAGTCTGAGTATAAAGGACGAAGGTTGCGGGGTTGGTAACTTGACCATGGCTCACTCGGCTCGAAGGTACCAGGTGGATGGTTTTCGCTTCGACTTGATGGGCCACATCCCTCTGAAAGTGATGCGCAAGGCAGCGGCTGTTGCCGCAAGGGATGCCCTAAACATCATATTAATTATATATGATTATGTTATATTTATAATTTATATGGTCTTATGACATTAAAACGTATATAATGTATTTTAAGCGACTGATATAGGATGATATATGTACTATATTCAGACTATACATCATATACATCACGATTTATTTGTGAGTCATTTTCTGATTGGTGGTTTGGAACATTTTTATTTTTCCATATATTGGGAATTTCATCATCCCAACTGACGAACTCCATCATTTTTCTGAGGGGTAGGTATACCACCCACCAACCAGTAAACCATGTTAAACCAGTGATTTTCCAGTGATGTTCCATATTTTATCATTATTTAATCACCTAGAAATCACCTGGAAATCACCATTTATAGTGGTTAAATCAGCATTTTCAGTGATTTCATAGGGGTAGGTCAACCACCCACCAGTTTTAAAGAAATGATTTTCCAGTTGCATTGTGCTGCTGCTGTTGACTTGGGATTCAGGTTCGAGATCTCTTGGATTCACTCAGATTGGTCCCTTGGCGAAAATCACCAATGGCTATACATTGATATACATTGATATATGTAGATTTATGTAGATATGTATATGTGTATATGTATATATATATATATATTTGCATACATACATACATACATACATACATACATACATACATACATACATACATACATACAAACAAACAGACATACAGACATACAGACATACAGACATACAGACATACAGACATACAGACATACAGACAGACAGACATACATACATACAGACATACAGACATACAGACATACAGACATACAGACATACAGACATACAGACATACAGACATACAGACATACAGACATACAGACATACAGACATACATGCATACATACATACATACATACATACATACATACATACATCTATACATACACATATATATATATATAGTACACATACATACCGGTATATGATACATATATTTATATATATATATTTGAATATACATATAGTGATAGTGAGTTCTTGGCATTGTCCACCAAACATGGAGGGATTTAGAATCTACAAGCAAGATCATGTAACCTGAAAAAGAAGAAATTGTGGCTGCAAATGATTTCACTTTTTGTTTGCCCCATACCTGTGGGAACCTTTGCCTGGCTGAATGGCATTAGTTTGATTTAGTTTGTTGTGTAGGGGGAAAGCAATCAACTAGTGCCAGCAAGACGCTTTCTACAGCGTGAATTAGGTTAGCCACTATACCTTATTATACAGTACCCTTTTGGGTGGTATACCTTTTGGTAGTTTAACACTTAGCAATCAATAATCACCTTTTATTTAATGGGTAAATTATCAACCAATTTGAAATTGTCCATAGCTAGGAATTGTTGGAGGGTATATTCCAATTAAACTGTATCCCAATGACTATCCCAATCATATCCCTATGAATCCCAAAGAATCGCATTCCACTCATTATTCCACTTACTAATCCCAAGAATTCTCGCAAGAATGAACAAATCACCATGAATTCGCATTGTATCCCAATGAATTCCATTACCCTCTGGTAAATTAACAGTCTAACCCTGAAGAATCACCAATTCTTAGTGGTTTCACTATACGCTTCCCCAACTCATGGCAGGGTCGTCATGTTAATTTTCTGGAGGGTAGATCCCATTTACATCCCATTGTTAGCCCATGCTTACACCATAAAAAAATCCCAATAGACACCATTTATAGATATTTATAGTGGTTTACCACCATTTTCCTGTGGTTTTCCATGAAATCCCTATAGAATCATTAGAATTCCATGGTCGGCCAGGACATGCATGGCATCGATGGTCGCAAGATCATGCTCTATGGTGAAGGCGCAGCAACGCAACGGGAGGGTTTTTCTGGGAAAAGATCCCACCTATAAATGGTGCTTCAATGGGAAAAATCATCTATAAAGGGGGGATTCGCTAGGATTAACATTAAAGGACTACTGTACTTTGTATAGCTGATAGAAACCTGGCAATTCAATGATTATTTAAACCATATGTAAACATGGAATGTCAATGGCTATTGAAACATTGCTCAATCTACGGAATGCTTTACCATGAATAGATCATGTCAAGGACAAACCTCTTGAATATGCGAAGAAGAAAACGGTACCTTGCTATAGTGGGAGTCCTTAGTCTTCTTCGATACCCCGAGACTGCCGAGACCGAGGGCTTTAAAAAATCACCCCTGAAACAGGCGTATGGTTGGAAGATGATTTGACCATATTTGACCAGCATAGTTTGGCCAAACATGGAATAATTCCAGCTCCAGATTTGTTTTGTAATTCCGTTCCCTTGGTTTTCAGTGTGGTTTAGTATTGGATGGTATTGGAACTGTTCATCTTGGGGTCCCTTGATTGTAGTGGGCATTGAAGACATGATGTTGGCTATGTATCTCTAGCTTCAGGATGGTTATATAAAGCATGTTAAACCATGTCAGACCATGTTAAAACTGGTTGGTGGTTTGGAACATGTTTTATTTTTCCATATATATATATTGGGAATAGTAATCCCAACTTATTTTCATATTTTTCAGAGGGGTTGAAACCACCAACCAGTAAACCATGTTTAAAGCATGTTAAACCACCCATTTTTGACGTTTGATGTCCCTCGGGGCGCTGCCAGGCTGGGAGTTCGGCGAAGTGGCGAACGGCCAGCGCGGCCAGGTGGCCGTGCAACAGCAGCTGGCGGGAAGCAAAATCGGTGCCTTCAACGATCGATGCTCGGTGGGGCGACCGGTGGGGGTTTGACATGGCAAGGTGGTTTCAAAAGGTGGTACCCCCGTTATAACGGGCTGGGCTGGTCTAGAAATGTTTGGACATGTTTGTATAGTTATATCACTTAAGACTCAGGTTTATGGCGTTACGTTGTCTTTTTGGGTTCAATGATATTGCTATGGTGTTTTTTTTTGCAAAGCAACTTATTTGTCGAACTCGGAGGCACCACCTTGTGGAAATGACATAGCTTGGTAAAGTTTAAGGTGAAGGTCAGAATATAAAAACCAAAGATACTTGAATTTTGCTGTAAGTTGCTAGGGGCAGTTATACCGAGTTTAATTTTTGTTTTTTTGGGGAAGGGTATCTAAGATTATATAGCCATGGGCCGTGACAATGCAATTCATGGTTAGCATTCGGACTTCTCTGGGGACTCTAGACAAACATGTGGCGAACATGCAAGCAGCAAATGAACGTGGCTGGATACAACTCTGTTTCTAGGGTTTCACAATATGCGAGGTACATATTCTCACGACCTGGAGGATCATAGGTACATCCCAGATCATCCCCATGAAAAGTTGCCAGCCATAGGGTACCAGGTGCACCGGGTACCTAAAACCCCGCCATTTTAGACACAGCCACATGTTTGTTTGTGAAAATCCCATAAAATCCCTGATCGACATCAGGAATTCGCGATTCTACCCTCGGCCGCGCAGCTGCAGTTCAAAAAAAAGATCCACTTTGCTGGTGGGTTGAAGGATATCCAATCGGCGATTTCATCGCAATGTTTTGAAGATGATGATTACAAGTATTGAGTTTAAGTTGGGCGGTTTGAATATTTAATGATTTGAAGTGGTAACAGTTTCGGTTTACCACTGCCAGTACACTTTTCACGGACATAGATGTTGTTGCGACTGGCACCTGAAAGTCTTGATTTTGTGCTTGGTTTCCAACCTCGACGTCTCGTTCTAATACGAGCTATTAGTGGATCAAAGACGTTTGATGAATAATTACCGACAATACACAAACATTAAACCATCATGTTTCAAAGAATTCAAATTGATTTCTGTTGAATTCTAGGATATTTTTTTGCTGCAGTAGTCTCATTCATATTTTTTTGACTGGTTGGTGGTTTGGAACATGAATTTTATGAATTTCCCATCATATTGGGAATTTCATCATCCCAAGTGACTTTCACTCCATCATTTTTTAGAGGGGTAGAAACCAACCACCAACCAGTAAACCATCTTAAACCAGTGATTTTCCAGTGATGTTCCATGTTTTATCATTATTTAATCACCTAGAAATCACCTGGAAATCACATGAAATCACCATTTATAGTGGTTAAATCACCATTTTCAGTGATTTTCATAGGGGTAGGTATACCATCCACCATTAAATCAACCACCAAGCAGGGATCACAACGAAAAAACATGGGATCCCCGGAGCATTTGGACGGTCCAAGGTGGTTCACCCTTCACTGACCCACGACTTCAGAGCTTCGCCACGGGACTTCTGAAGCCCATCACGGGAGGTGGGATCATGGTGGGATCACCAGATGTGAGATGTGAAATTTCCATAAATTTCCAAAGGGAGGGGATCATGTTCAGCTGCTTGGTGGTTTGGAACATGGGTTTTTACCGTGATTTTCCATAGTTATCGGACAGTTTACCAGAAGGTAACTTTTATATATATATATATATAACTGTATAACTTATACTGGTTGGTGGTTTGGTTAATAGTGATACTAATATATGGAAGTATGAGAATGACATATGGGAATAGTATACTGGTTGGTGGCTTGGAACATGAATATCTATATACTGTATTTGGTTGGTTAATAGTGATGGGTAGTGGTTAATAATTAGGCTATAAACAAACAACAATGGGAATGTGGTGGTGATCTGATTGGTGGCCGCCACAGCCATACAGCCCAGATGGTGACCAGTGCAGGTGACAGTGTCATGGAAAACTGGTTGGTGGTTCGGAACATTATTTTTTCCCATATATTGGAAATGTCATAATCCCAAACTGACGAACTCCATCATTTTTCAGAGGGGTAGGTATACCACCAACCAGATTAACTTTGTTAACGTGATTACTATGTAATCCTGGGTTTGTTTAAGATTATTGTTTACTTTCCCAGAGAATCCACCATGACTCGGGAATCTATAGGGAATATGATGTAATATTATGATATATTTCTTTAGGGATCCCTGATGCAAATGCAAGTAATTGTAACCCATTCTGTTAGTGCTTTGTAGTCGTGAAAAATCTTAGTGTTTAGTCCGATGATTCTCCGAGTGAAATGATCGTAGGCAAAAACATACGGCCGTTACTATGCTGTGGCCCTTGTGGTTTCTGAAAAGGCATGGACACTCGTTGAATATACAATGTGAGGCCCCCAAGATAGCTAAGTTGGTTTATAACTCCAATGACTCCAATAACTATGGTTTATGGTATTTATAACTATAGTTACTGGGGCTTATAAACCAACTTATAACTGGGGGGCCTCACATTGTACGTATGATGTTTCTCGTCTTCTGGGGAAACTTTAGGTAGCCTCGAAGATTTTTACCCTTATTGGCCCAAAGATGCCCAAAGTCAAACAGGATACATCTGGCGTCTCCTGAATAGACACCGCTTCTTCTTGACTTGACTCTCAACTCCTCAACATCTGTGTGTCCAGGGCCAGATCAGGGCTCAGTGCGTGATCAAGAAACGATCTTTGGTCCAGTGTGGGCGGAAGGGTTGAATGGCAAATCCCAAGTAGGTTTGGCACATTTCGAGTGACATTTGGGAATGTTTGGGGACCCCAATCCATCCGTTGATGAACTGCTTGGGAAAAGATCCTACAGCTAGACCAGGTTGACCGCTTTTGGGGGATTAGGGGTTTTGAAAAGGTTGAAGCACACCCATTTCTATTGCGGTATGGCAGATTTGGGAGTCCTTATGATTGCCTGTGGATGAAGCAAGCATGATCTTTGATCGTGTTTTTCACCTAATTGGCTTGAGGAAAGAAGTTGACTCTGTGAAGTGACCAAGAAAGTACGCGATCAGCTTGGTTTTATGAATAACCCATAGGATCCATGTATGGTATATATGCTAACATTTGGGGTATATTGATGGTAAATGTTACCATATATAACATACATGGATCCTATGGGTAATATAATCATGCCAAACTTTGCACAACAGTCCATTTTTTGGGTGACTTAAGCCTTTGGGGATGGATGGGTCAAACACCTTTTACCATTTGTGGTTGGACATTGGAAGAACATTGTTTTGTGACCAACCACAGCCAATCACAATCACATCATGGGCGGATAAGGCCGTCAAATATCAGTTGCATATTTTTGTGTATGGATGATCAAGTATGCACAATGGTATAATCAATATGAATCAATATGATATATACATACCCTCCGGTGATCAAACATGCATGGTAAGTAGTGGCAAACCATCCCTTCATAGACGATTTCCCATAAAAACGGCACTTTGGGGATTTGCCAGCCACGTTACCGGAAGGTATATTCCCATGATATCCCAATGATTGTCCCATGATTGTCCCAATAAAACCCTTTGGATCCCTATAAATCCCCCAATGATGCAACGATAAGTATCCCCAACAAATCAATTATCCCCCTCGATTCCTGCGACGCTCAGGAGACTTCGTAAGGCCCAAGATACCATCCGAATCTCCTTGGCCGGAAGTCTCAAGGAGTAGCGCCGCAAAGAGCGCGTTGGGCTGTTGAAAAATGATACAACAACCTGTCAGTGTGTTTGTTCGGGGGAATACACCACCTGAATATGGTTGTTTAGCGATCATAAATCATATAGATTTTTGTTGGGTAATTACATGTGATTACCCAATTTTCAGACAAACCCTGATTGATTCAGCTTGGTGCTGGGTCGGTGATGGTTTATTTTGGTGGTGTGGGGGGGTGTCCCTTCAGCCAATCCCAATCCAAGAGGGGAGTGACAAATCAGACGCCATAACGGAGCACGGGGAAGGATTTTAACATGTTTGAACTGTTTGTCAGATGACCTGCTTGCCGGCTAGACTGGCTAGACTGATACTTATCTTCCATCATCACTATGCCAATCATTGCCCCGATTTCTCCTTCCTATGCCTCAGCATACACGATAGATCATCGATTGAACCCCCCAAAGACCTTGCATTTATGGATGTTCATCCCTAGCATTTACGGAACATGATTTCAGTTAACAGTACGTGTCAATAATGTGGTTGAAAGCAAAACCCATGAAAAACCACATTCAACCTTTGATCTATTTCAATTAACAGTTCATTTGGTTGGTAGTTTCAAACATGGCTTTTATTTTCCATAATATATGGGATGTCATCCTTCCCATTGACGAACTCATATTTTTCAAGATGGTTAAAACTTAAAACCACCAACCAGTAATTACATTTACAGGATCAACGGTTTTTCCTGTGGTTGTGTGGTTGAAATGGGTTTTGATCCATTCACACGTTTCCGCACTAATCCCCTTCGGCCACTAGAGGCCTTACCATACAAGTACTCTGCCTGACTTTATCAAAATTGAGAAAATCACAATACAGTCAATTGTATCCTGTAAATATGGGGATGGATCAATACCTATTAATACCATTTTTAGTGGGATGAACATCCATTTACCAGCTATTTTGGGGTTCACTAGGTACCAGGGTTTTGACCCATCCCCATATATGTATACAGTATATATATATATATACACATTCATTTGTTAGTGGTCAGGTCTTTTGAGGCTTTAAATCTGGAAATGGGGGCATCACAAACAGCACTCAGCATTCAGCCATGATTTCCTGATATTTCCTGCAGATCAGGGATGATTATAACAGGGGAATGTATGAATGCATAGTGATACATTGGCTGTAACAAGTAGACCACTTTAAAAACCACACTAATATTAATTATAGATGCCATTTATCCACCTTCTTGGTGAGCGACCCATTTTCCAAGGCTAAAGCCATGAGAAACAGGTTTTAGCTGCCAAGTTTGTGCCCTGAGGAGTTCAGTTTTCAGAACTTCCACGGAGAAACTCGACAAGGGGATCAACACTTCAACGACCCTCGGCAGAACATCATGGGCAGCTTCACGGGTCTCTGTATACTTTTTCATGGGATCATGACGGAGAATTTGACATGTCCATGTTCACGGGCATGTATGTATAATATATACATAATTATACAACTATAAATATGTTTATATTTGTATATAAATTCTCATGCATGATCATGCATGTATATATATATATATATTGTAGATATTATTATATAAATACATAGCCATTGTGTGTTGAATATACATATTGTAAAGTTCAAAACAAGGACATGAGTCGTTCTCCTTCTGTTGTCCAGAGACGGACCCTCTTGCAGAGTTTGTCATGCTGATCATCTGAGTATGTGGTTCATGGTGGTTGTAACATTAAGACTTGGGATATTGTCTCATTTAGGCTAATAGAATATCATATAATATCTCATATAGAATTTACTTTAAAACTTTGCATATGTCAGATACCTCTGGTATCCTCTGGTCATTTGATCTGAAATATGAGAAGTCTAACGCATAAATTATAATCTATTTATATAGATTTGCGAAAATTTAATCACGACCTCACTGTTCTCCCTCACTATGATCATGTTTAGGTTTCGGGAAATCATCCCCTTGTGGAGACTTAATTCAGGTTAGTGAAATATTATCATTTACCCAGATATATTTCTAGGGATCTCTAGGTATTTATAGGGATTTATAGGGATTTATATTAGATGTGTTCAATACACTATTATGTGCTAGATGATCTTATGATTATGACTGGGAATTCGCCAGCCACACCAGTTCTGACTGGGATAGATCCATTAGATCCGCAGGAAGCCTTGGCCTACACGGATCAACCAGTGTCTCGGTACTGGATGGGAGTCAAAACATATGCCATATTTGAGGGAATAAGCATCCTGTAACCATCATTAACCAGCATTAACCAGCTATTTTAGGGTACCTAGGATACCAGATATTTTGACTCATAGCCATCTTTATAATACGGGGATGAGTCAAAACCTCTTATTTTCCGGACAAAAATCGGGAGATAAGCTGAGATGAACTGATGAGTGAGTTGATTTTTGGTGTTGGAAGTGAGTTGTTAACCGAACCGAACTGATGACCAGCTGTTTGGGATGCACTTCAGATACCATTCACGGCTGAAAGGACCCAAAGTATCCCCGGTCCCTATGGTTGTCCTCGTTTGTTGTATGCTGAAACCCCGCTCGGTTACATCTACCTCAGCAGATCTTCTGGTCATACAGATTTTAGACTTGTGTAGAATTGTATTTAGATTACCCTCTGGTAAACTAACATAGCTATCGAAAATGGCCATTTATCGTGAGTTTTCCCATTAAAAATAGTGATTCTCCATAGTTATGTTAGTTTACCAGAGGGTATACATTATATTTAACGGATTCGATGCACTCAAGATGTAAGCAAACGCGAATCTACGCTTGACTGGAGGTTGAAGCCATCAATTACGTTTCGGCGCACGACAACGAAACGCTCCGCAGCTGCAGCAGGGACGTCGGAGAGTGGGTTTGTGACTGGAGCAAAGGGAGTACAGTACTTGAAAGAGCCGCATGATTGTTTGTTTGACACATGAGAAAAATTGATGACTTTGGTGGATTGGATTTCTACAGAGTTGTCAATGCTGATCCATATACATATATACGCATATATAATTATGTATTTTTATATATATATATATATATACACACATATTTTTTTAAATATTATATACATATGATTTTATCTAAGTATTTCCCCACCTGCCAGGTGAGGGTTGTTAGATTTTATCGGAGCTGTTGTCCTCCTCCTCCTCCGCCGCCTCCTCCTCCAGTTTCTCCTCGACCATGTCGGCATCAACTTCCACCTCCACTTCCACCTTGCCAACTCTTCGCCAAGCTCTTCGCCAACATCCGAGCTCAGTGCGCACTGCTGGACCTCAACCTGGGACCTTCCCAGCTCAGTGCGCACTGCTGGACCTCAACCTGGGACCTTCCGCGCTCAGTGCGCACCGCTGGACCTCAACCTGGGACCTTCCCAGCTCAGTGCGCACCGCTGGACCTCAACCTGGGACCTTCCCAGCTCAGTGCGCACTGCTGGACCTCAACCTGGGACCTTCCCAGCTCAGTGCGCACCGCTGGACCTCAACCTGGGACCTTCCCAGCTCAGTGCGCACCGCTGGACCTAAACGGCCAGATAGAATGCCAGAAGATATGCCAGATAGATTGTCAGAAGATATGCCAGAAGATATGCCAGATAGAGTGCCAGAAGATATGCCAGAACATATGCCAGAAGACATGCCAGGTAGAATGCCAGAAGATATGGCAGATAGAATGCCAGAAGATATGCCAGATAAAATGCCAGGAGATATGCCAGAAGATATGCCAGATAGAATGCCAGAAGGAATGCCAGATAAAGTGCCAAAATGTTTGCCAGACAGAATGCCAGAAGATTTGTCAGATAGAATGCCAGATAGGATGTCAGAAGATATGCCCGAAGATATGCCAGATAGAATGCTAGATAGAATGCCTGAAGATATGCCAGAAGATATGCCAGAAGATATGCCAGAAGATATGCCAGGTAGAATGCCAGAAGATATGACAGATCGAATGCCAGAAGATATGCCAGATAGAATGCCAGAAGATTTGCCAGTAAAAAATGTATAAATGTCATGGTGGGGATGACTCGAAGTAAAGTAATTGATCTATATTTCAACAAGTGATTTTTTTTTGAGCTATTCTGATCATTCGGTCGTGCGCCGGCTTCGTCTCACATGTCGCGCCGAGCGTTTGCTCGAAGCCATTCAAAACCTCCAAAAACATGTTTCTGCAATATCCGAGTTGGTGCGCCAAAGCTGTGTAGATTGTTGGGTTGATTTCCAGGAAAAGGTTTTTAAGGAAAGCGTGGTTGTTATCGTGATCAGACAGTCAGCATTCCAGCAACATTGGAAGCAACATGTTCCTTGCTGCTACTCTGATGATGTGATTGGTTGTGTGGTTTTGTTGGAGGGCCGGGCGGCTCTGTTCAGCCGCTGTTCAGCCGTAACAGTCATGGATGTTGAAAACGCCAGTCAGTTTCCGAGCCAAACATATTGTAGATTGTTTGTAGATTGTTTATGATAGTTTATGTACAACCCATAGGATCCATGGTCCTGCTATATATGGTAACATGGATCCCATCAATATACCCCAGTCATGTTAGCATATATATCAGCACCATGGATCCTATGGGCAATAATCATGAAAACAATATGTACAATAATCAGTACTGAGTTTTTTGTGTTTGTAATGGTTTTGTTCTATCGCATTTGCGAGCGCAGATCTCGCAAACTCATGTGAAACTGAACGATCCTGTTGATCCAAAACATAGATGAAAACTGGTTGGTGGTGTCCAGGTAGCCTAAAATAGTTGGTTAATGCTGGTTAATGATGGTTACAGGATGCTTATTCCCTCAAATATGGCAATATACCCTCTGGTAAACGTTTACGTGTTGCTATGGAAAGATCCACCATTTTTAATGGGAAAATTCACTATTTCGATTTTCATTTTCAATAGCTATGTTTGTTTACCAGAGGGTAGATGAAGATCATTACAAGGCATCCCTCCAAGAAATTCAGTTTCTACTATCCTGAGGCTCTTCGACAACAGCGTCTGGAAAATGCCTCCAGGATGCTTTTCGCCTACTGTTGCGGCCTCAGAATCGGGTCTTATGTCACAGTATAGTCATAGTCAAGATCAACATCACTATAGTCATTGTAGTTATAGTCATTAGTCATTATAATTAGTCAACATCTGTTTGCCCTCCAAATAGATCCATGAATATCGCCTGTCATGGTCAACACTTTTTTCTATGATCCCGAGTTGGGCTTTGTTACTGTTGGTACCCTTTATATACCCCAATTCTGTGGTGGTTTATGACCCAAAAATGATAAATTGGTAACCAAATAGCCAGTAACTATGTAAAAATCTGGGTTATTAATTGTCTGGTATCTAATAGATGTTTAAAACTGTGGTGGTTTCTTTTTGGTACCACATTATCGGAAAAGGCGCGTTACACCCATGGTTTTTGGACATTTTTTTGGGGGTCCAATGAGTTGTGGTCACCTAAGGTCGTTGGCGTATGGGTCATATGGGTCAGAATGAGTGGCCCCCCAGAATGGCTTGTTAATACAATTAATAGCAGTGTCAGATACTTCAAAATTTCAAAACATCCGAAACTTTGACCTTAAGTATCTTAAGCTTATCATTCCCCAACGAAACGGATGATTAATCAGTCAGATTCAAAATCATCCAATTTTCTGGGTCCGTTTCTACCCCATTTTTTCAGCCCATAACCTTTGACCAATATATATTCTACGTCACCTGTCCAGGAACGGATGAGAGGAAACTGGCTGGCCACATCGTTGGTGGCTTTGGCCCACGGTGTGCCCTTTTTCCATGCAGGCTGTGGGGAGCGATGACGACTTCAAGCGATGTCTGGTTGCTGGTTCCATAGTTTCTGAATGTTTCTGATGACCCTCCGTCCCAAAAAAAGGAACTTAACTGACTTAACTTATTTCATCTTATTTCCAGGATGGTAGTTCGAAGGTGTATTCTCCATTAAATGTTCAGGTTTTCTCTTGAATGTGTGGCATCTTAAATTGGGGCTTGCGATTAAATCCCTGGAAATCACCCAACAAAAACCATGCTGAGATCATGATTAAATCATGAATTGCAATCCCATGACGGATCCATGGTGCTGGTATATATGCTAACATGACTGGGCTATATTGATGGAATCCATGTTACCAATTGTTACCATATATAGCAGCACCATGGATCCGTCATGGCAATCATATAAACCATGAAATATCACCACCAAACATCACATTTCTGACCTCCATGACCTGCGTTTCTGACGTTTCTAGGCGACGAGCTGCTTCGGTCAAAGTCTCTGGATCGCGACAGCTACAACAGCCACTGGGACGATGGGACGATGATGGGACGGTGCCCAGTTGTGCCCAGGAACCGATTCATTGGAGGTACCTACCATATATAAGGCCTATGTTTGAGGCCTATGTAAGGGAATATCCCAGCAAAATATGGCCTGAAATATGGTACAGTAGCTCCATTTTAGGATCCTGAAATTCCCATTGACTAGCTAGCTGGATGGGTTTATGGAAAATCCATGAACATCCCATCTAGAAATGGGTGATGACTGGGGCCCAGGGGGACCCCGATTTTAGACATTTTAGGACACCTCCACAAAAAACACACCCAACACATGATCTAATGGGTCGAGAATTGGTAAAAAACATTGGTTAGTAGAAGCCGAATGCTATCACGATCGTAATGGGATACACAACCAACAATATGATGATATACATGGGTCTGTCTGAAAATGGTCGCGTATACCCCAATGGTGAAGCGCATGGCTTTGAAGTCAGCTTTATCTTTCCAGGCATTTGGCACTGGTACACTTCTGAAGTTGGTGCACTACTTTATCTATAATCAACACTTCGGAAACAGTACGTTCAAGTGAATTTGCTGGGATCTTCTTTGAATCATGTCATGTATCTTTCATGTTATTGATTTGGTCAAATTGTCTTGTCCAGGAATGGAGTATGCTCCGCCACCTATTGCTCATGAAATCTTATTTATTATGTGAAGCACAATGACATGTGCCACTGATATTTTGAAGAGTATCTTTTTGAAGGCAGACACGTTTGGTCAAATCAAGTATAATGTGGGTAACAATAATAAACCCACCCATTTAGGAATGGTTTTATACCACCTATTTATGGTGATCTGAGGGATGGTTTATTATTGTTTTACCCATATTACAGTGGGCAGAATTTTTGTTAGACAGCGGCTTGCGTGACATGGAGTGCAAGGGCCTGGCAAGCAATGATTATTTCCCAAAACTTGTGTCCCATGATGTTTGGATTGTGTATCATACAGATACGGGCACATATATGTATATATATAATATATATATATATAATATATATATATAATATATATAATATATATATATATAATATATATATAATATATATATACATATGGTGATCGATCTAAAGGTCCTTGTAAAGAGTTTTAATTGCGAAGACCGTTCATGTTATGCTGGGAACCCTCGCGAAAGTTTTTTTTCTATTTGCGAGTGCTTGAATGGCTTCTGGAAATACATGGTTGCAATTTTATTTACACATCTCCAGTATATATAGTAATATCCGCAGATGAATCGCTAGGGTCACTGGGCTACCAGTTGAATGCGCTTTACTCCATCCCTTGACTCATTGGTGTTATGTTTTATGATGATCCCCAATTTGCCAACATGTTTGTCTTGAATTGAAACAACTCAAATAATGTTCTTTGGGGAAAAAGGGGTCAGTTTGGTATGCCATTTATTCTCATTTACCAACCAGTGGGAAAAAAAAAACATCCAGCAACTGAACTGACCAGTTGTTTAAGGATTGATGCTCTCAGAACCCAGGTAATGTTCTGGCACTCAATGACACTATAAATGGGATCAAGATACCCCACAGTTCATATATACACCTGTAAAAACCAAGATGGAACCCACAAGTTGTCTCTTCCAAAAGGAAAACCAGTTTCCTGATCCCATAATTTTTTTGGAATCCATGGTAGATCTCATAAAATTCGGATTCCATATGAGATCCAACCAAAAATTGCGAATCCATCTTCGTTGGGCGAAAGGTGGATTGCCAATCATCACCCAGGCGGCGATTGGTTCAATGTACTGGACTTTTCGGGCGAAAAATCCGCCTTCGGTGTGGGATTGCCGCCAAAAGGGAAGAACGGTCACTCGAATGTGGCACTGGCGATGGTGGTGCTGAGGTTTGGGTAGGAAAATGCTCGGAAAATGATGGATAATGGTAAAGATATCGTGATTTCATCGGGATTTACAAGTGAAACATCGATATATATATATATATATTATGTATATATTCTTTGGTAAATTAAGATACGTATGGAAAAATAACATGTTTCCTAATCCGTAAATCATGTATAAATGAGCCATGGCTAACTGTTACCAAAGGGTAGATCTTCACAAATTGCCATGTCTGCTTTGTTGTGTCTTTGGATGTTTAGGAATGTTTATGAAGTATATAGATGTTTTATCATTTAATTGTGTGTCTTAGTTTTGCATCGGATAGCATGGAACATCATAGAACAACACAGTACTGTTTGGTGTGATCTCGGATTAGGATACCTTTTCCCAGCGTCTATCTATGAAATTGTGTCACATATCCATGAAAAACAGCGTGCAGTTTAACATTTTGACAAACAAACAATTGGATTCCATCACACATGTTTCTAAAAACAGGATACCCATGGACTGTACCCTCCAATTCTAATGGACTGTCATGATTTTCCCGAAAGCGGAAACCAATTGTGGGTTTTTTCTATGGTATACTCCATGTTCAGACACACCTATAGTAATGTTGTTCTCCTTTTTTTAGCGCATGTTGGGTGAGCCCGGTACCGAAGTTCTTGGCATAGATGATGCAGATCAGGATGTCAGGTGGATGTTGATATGTTGATGTTTCTGGTACTAAGTGGGCCACCCCGTAGTAATCACTAGAATAACTTGGGGCTTGTGGTATGTACTTGGTGGTTCATCCCACGGCTCGTAAGTGGATTATAACCCCAGTGATTTACATGGGATAAGTAGGGTTAATCCACTGAAATCACTGGGGTTATAACCCACTTACGAGCCGTGGGATGAGCCACCAAGTAGTGATAACATGTGGATTATCGCGATTATCGCTGGATGTTGATGGCGGGCCATGGATGATACACATGCACCCAGAATACGTCGAGCTATCAGTTATAGATAGTAACAAAAATGTAAAAAACAGATGTCAGATTACACTTGTATAATTTTGTATACATAGAATAATCTAACATAGTACATAGATGTACATAGAACACTATGATCACTATGTATCCATTAAATATTCTATTACACTTGTATAATTTTGTAATATTTTTTTGAATATGGATATTATCCGAAATTAGCGTTCTATGTATAGATTAGTGTTCTATGTATATTAGACATTACACTTGTTTTTTTTGAATAAAACATAGAACACGAAGTCACCCTTGTGATCCCTGGTGAAGGTCACCTCCACAATAGGTCACCACTGGGACATGATGCGACCCCTTCTCAGAGACAGCGAGGCCTGCCGGGCCGTGACGACTTGCGCCAAGATGTTGTTGGTTTTTATGGGATGATTTACCCTCTGGTAAACGTACACATAACTATGGAAAATCACCATCAAAATAATGAGTTTTTTTCCATCAAAAATGGTGGATCTTTCCATAGTTATGTAAACGTTTACCAGAGGGTATGGGATGGTTATTGTTTTCATGTTTTTTTTTTGTGTTTTAAGCAACTTAATAAACCACATATGAAGATATCATTCTATCCAATCGTCAGGAGGCTGCAATTTTTGGAGCTAGGGATATTCATATTCCCAACAAAAATGGGGACATAATGCATAAGGAGCTACTAAGAGTATCTAAGGGTTTCCCAACCACATAATAGTTGGTTCTTTGGGAAAATAACTTTCGCAATTAAACACATCTACAGAATTGTGGAGTGTCACGGCATCCAAAAAAATTAGACAAAGCCATGCTGTATCCCAGAAGTGGTTTTTGTCAGGCTTGTGAGATTAGATGCTTTCCAGATGTTTGTTTAGAGATTCCCTGGTGCAATCTTGAAACACATGTTCTGAACATGAAACAAATGGATTCCAGGGCCTCCTGCGGATGGGTTTACTACAATTGCCCAACAGTTGTGGACTTCAGTTTGGTGTATTGATCATAATCATATCACATCAAAATACATCATCACAAATCTCTCTGTACCCAGACCCAACAGTTATTATCGATGGTTGTTGTCAGACATCAGGTGCGGCCTACGGTGGAGATGGTGGAAGCCACTAAGGTCTGCCATGGTCATATTTTGGTGGGATGTTGGTTGGGCCCAGGGATGTGTGGATAGATTTGTTGGTTGCATATTTGGATAGAACCAGCCCAAATATCAATGTATAGACTGTAGTCAGACTAGTATAGTATAGTATAGTATAGTATAGTATAGGGTAGGGATAATTATCATTGTCATTGAGCTAACAATTGGGATGATATATGTAATCTCTCTGGTAATCTCAAAGTTCACTGGAAGCCATGGCCGATGTAGATCCATTTACTTAGATGATTTATATACTGTTCTTAGACATTGTGATTTTCTATAGCTAGATTAGATAATAGGACCATAATAATAGATAATAATAGATAATAATAGATAATGATAGATAATAATAGATAATAATAGATAATAATAGATAATAATAGATAATAATAGATAATAATAGATAATAATAGATAATAATAGATAATAATAGATAATAGCCAGAGGACAATAGATAATAATAGACCTTGACCTACACCAGCACAAAGGATGCATAGAGATCATGATCAACAAGCACTTGGGGAATAGACATGCGTGCTTCTGTATCGCCAGCGATACAGCTGACATCTTGAAGTCTTGGTTATATGATAATGTTTATTAGCCCAAACAAATTTCAATGGGAATAAAAAAGGATCCTAAAATGGAGGTACTGTACCATTTTTCAGGCCATATTTTGTGGTGATATTCCCTTACATAGGCCTAAAATATAAGCCTTATATATGGTAGGTACCTCCATTTTAGGATCCTGAAATTCCCATTGAACATTTCGATCATGGGGTTTGGTTTGCTGATAACAATGTTAATTGATAACAGCCCATTTCATGTTAAATCAGATTTCTTTAGCCCACCAATTCTGGGCATCTCCATGTGGATTTGAGTCCACCAATCAGCTTCCGACCTCACAGGCCGCCTATGGCCATGAATATTGGGTTCTATGTTCACTTCAGGAGATGTACACCAACCAAAAAAAAAGAAAAGGTGGCATCTGCAGGGTGGACAATAGGTTGCTTATCATCATGTTCCACCTTCAAGATTCTTCAAGTTGGCATTTTGGACCATTTTTCTACGGTATATATACAGTGATTTTATATATTGGTGGGTAACCACCATGGTTTCCCCCTTGCAGTCATTAATCACCAACCCACTGACATCGGCCCTTTGGGCCAGGCCAAGTTTTGCGAACTTCTACGGCTACGGCGCTCTACTGCCTTGATCGGACTCCACGATGTGCCGCTGCGGATGTGATCGATGTGATCGGAACTGACCATTTTCTGGATCCCACCTAGTAAGTAGGTTAAACACATTGATTCTAAGATGTGTAAGTGGGATTAATCTGATTAATCGAACTCTACTTGTGATAATAGGGGTAAAGTATGGTAAAGACATCCCATTCACTAAGTCTGGATTCATGTTTGGGGAACACTGACAGTAAATAGGAACATGACTCAAAATCCAAGGTTTGAGCTTCAACGACCCAGGATGAAACATGTATTGGTCTTCCAATACATGTTTGGGGGGCCCCCAAATCATCCTAAAAATCAATAGACCATACCTAGAAGTAGCAGCTATGGGTATTTACGGTAGCCTCCAGGGAAATGGCCATCAGAGGCAGAAATAGACCCTGGTTGGGGCGGTAGAGAAAGGTGGATGGTACCCTGAAGTTCGCCCAGGAATGAATCGTTCGCCCTGAATCTCGTTTTGGGGTGATTACAGATGATGAAATATGCATCATACTAACGCTGCTAGTATATACCCTTTGGTTATTTAACATAGCCATGGAACATGGCCAATTTATAGATGATTTTCCCATTAAAACCTCGATTTATAATTAAGGGATTTTCCATGGCTATGTTAAATAACCAGAGGGTATATATATATATATTATACATTACACTGTACTCGAAATACCAACCAAGAACGTGGATGAATATCCAACAAATATATATATATATATATAATTACTAGATATAGTTATTTCTTGGGGATCAATTTTCAATTTGATGGGTTGTTTTCATTTTGATGTAGGATTTCACGCAACAGAAGAACTTCCCACATACCATGCGGAACTGTTGGAACATGTTGGGGACACCCCAGGGTGGCCTAGAAAACCAGTGATTTCTGTAGGAAAACTGACCTACTTTCATGGTGGGTTCTCGACATCGAACTGTAAGCGTTTACCGTTTCCCGTGTGCTACTGAAATGGACTTTCGCTGGTTGTTTTTCACCCGGGCATTTGCAGATTCACCATAAAGACATACCATGACATACCGGTATCTCAACCTAGTTCCAAAGCAATTCCACCTATTCTTGCCATTCAACAACATCGCCGCAACTTGCAAAGCTCTATATATAGCTTTCCCAAAAAGTTGCGTTTCGGTGCTATTCCTATTGCAGCAAGCTCCAAATAGATAGACGTTTGTTGAAGCCTGGAAACTATGATGGTCAGTGATCAGTGTTTCTGGGGCAAATTGCCTAATTATTCCTAGATGATGAACACCAGCATGAAAACATAACGCCATTTTCGGCAACATTTTCTATGAGTATGTATGTTAAATTATCAGATGATATATTCTACATATGTCTACATGTTATGTTGGTTTTCTTGGAAACTATTAGTTTAAATATGGGTAGTAAGCTTAGTCATTCTGTTCATATATGTTCCTCCATGTGGTAAACTGGTAAACCCAATGCCATAAACTATCCCTAGAAACCAGAAATAGGTGGTAACCATTACCCCCAATGATAGGGGCCCAGAATTGAGGCAAAGCACATCAAAGAGAAGGTCAATTTTCCTGGCTGCCGCTGTTTCGCAGAACGCTTTGAGGATGGGGCGGGGGGATCCTAGACGTATGTATGTGTGATTCTGGGTGCAGATAGATTTGCAAACTTATATGTATAGACTTTCTTTTGTATATACATATATATATACATACATACATACATAATTACATATGCATAATGTGTGATTTTATGTGTATGTATGTATGTATGTATGTATGTAATGTAATGTAATGTAATGTAATGTAATGTAATGTAATGTAATGTAATGTAATGTAATGTATGTATGTATGTATGTAATTAATGTATGTATGTATGTATGTAATGTAATGTAATGTAATGTAATCTAATGTAATGTAATGTAATGTAATGTTATGTAATGGTATGTATGTATGTATGTATGTATGTATGTATGTATGTATGTATGTATGTGTATATATATACATATATGTTTTTATCGTTGCATATGCATGCAGGTACTGTATGTTTTTTTGACAATGGGCACATACCATATAATTATAATTTACGTATATCATCTTTCACATTGTGCACGTGGATTTATATGACCCTGAAAAGTCATGAGGAGAAAACATGTGACACGGAAAAAGTCGGCACAGAAATAGATAAGTTTTACATTGGAGCACAGTGCTGATTGAGTAACATGGAATGGGCAGAAATGTATTGATAAACAGGGTAGGTTCTTGATCACACACAGGTGTTCCAAGATGCACACAGCCGCAGAATTTCTCCTAGGTGGTCCATTGCAGAAGCTCGGCCTTATCGTCATGCAGATTTGCTCCCTAGCCGCAGCAAAGGGCAACCAAACATATCAGACAGCTGATTCACAATCCTGCTGATCATCCCTTCATCCCTATCAATCGTTGTTTTGCGTCATCATCATCATCATCATCATCATCCTCATCCTCATCCTCATCCTCATCCTCGTCGTCGTCGTCGTCGTCGTCGTCGTCGTCCTCATCCTCATCCTCGTCATGCTGGTCAGAATTACTCTTACTTACCATCACCAGCAGCAGGGCCAGCCTCAGACCCCCTGCCTGGAAAGAATACCAGGTAATGACGCACCGGACAAGCCCATGCTTTGTGACTTGGCCCATGGCTGTGTCTGAAAGTGGGGTACACGCCATTTTTTGGCAAACCAGTACACAGCACCTTTGATCCATGACTTCCATATTGAATATGATGAAATATATTTAACACTGGCGACTCCATGCGGACTGTTTTTCAAGAAGGGCACCGCCACTGACAAGTGGCTTTGCAACCTCATGTTACTATCGATTTATGTCCACCATAAATCCAATCGTTAGCCCAGTTATTACCCACCTTAGCACAGTATGGGGCACTGTGGAGCACTACTTTGGTGTCTTCACCATTGCTCTTCTTTTCCATATGATGGTGAATTCACTAAAAAAACGACATTCCCCATTTCCCTATGTTTGATGGTTCAATATATGTTACCCTCTGGTAAACGTTTACAAAACTACGGAACATCACCATGTTTATAGGGAAAATCAACTATAAATCACCATGTTCAATAGCGACTGGGCCATTGCTTAGCCATTCCCAAACTATTTCGACTGGGCCATTTTCGATCACCCTGGAGCCCTCCTTAGGTTCCAGCTTCGCGCGGGTCGTCATCGTCTTCTGGGCGGGCTTCGAGACGGCCAAGGCCGTGGTGTGTGTTTGCCGATGAGTGAAATCCTATATTTCTATTGAAATGTGGGCAACTTATTTCTATTGAACATGGTAAAATATGGTAAAATGGTGATTTTCCATGATTTTCCATAGTTATGGGACAGTTTACCAGAGGGTAACTTTTATATAACTGTATAACTTATTCTGGTTGGTGGTTAGTGGATTTACCCATTGAAAATGGTGATTTTCCATAGGTTTTTGTATGTTTACCAGAGGGTATATCAGGTTGCTGAACTATGACTGGTTGGTGGTTTGGAACGTGGCTTGTTATGACTTTCCATATATTGGGAAATATGGGCTACTAATATATGGAAGTATGATAATGAAATAATATGGGAATATTGTATTGGTTGGTGGTTTGGAACATGTATATCTATACAGTATAAATGGTTGGTTAATAGGGATGGTTAATAGTGGTTTTCATAGGCTATAAACCAACAACACTGGGAATATGATGGTGATCTGCTTGTTGGTTTGGAACATGGTTGGTGATAATCCCATTAACTATAGGTATATCACCTATAAACCATAGTGAAATTGAACTTATTTTCCATAACATATTGGGAATGTCATCATCCCAACTGACTTTCACTCCACCATTTTTCAGAGGGGTAGGGCTCAGCCACCAAGCAGCTTTTTCTGTATGGCAAATGGATGGACATGGCTTGGTAGTTTTTTGGAACTCGCCATGACATATCATGACATATCATGAAATAAACTAACATAACTATGGCAAATCACCATTTATAGTGGATTTACGCATATCCCATGGAAAATGGTGATTTTCCATAGTTATGTTAGTTTACCGGAGCGTATCATGAAATAAAATTGAAATTCTTGTGGCTGATGAAAGCTTGTGGCTTGCAATGGTGGCTGGTGAGGTATGCTAGGTTGATGATTGTCTCACTGGCTTGCGATGACATCCATGGCATACTTCAGGGCATGATGCTTGCCAGGTGACAGACGTTGATCAGCCATGCGGCACATGAACATTTAGTGAGTTTTGTGGAATCGGAGTGACCCCAAGAGGCTACTCTCTCCGTTTAATTTGACTCACGTTCTCCAAAGGATTTACTTGCCTTGCAGGGCCGAAGCTCTCCTTTGCAGTGGTTTCAACAATAGCTATACTGTACTATACTACCTATAATATACTGTATCTACGTGAAACCCGAAAGCTGCATCTCTGCCTGAACAGAAAGCAAGGCTCCTTCTTGTTTTTTGCAAGTTTTACCTCGAATCAATCCAGTGTTATTCACCACTGCTCGATGTTTATTTCCACGAGATTCAATGGTAGGCACCGGAGCTTGGTAGTTTTCAAATTCATATCTTATATTGTTTGGTTGGTGGTTTGGAACATTTGGATCATTTTTCCATATATTGGGAATAATACTCCCATTTGACTAATATTTTTCAGAGGGGTTGAAACCACCAATCAGTTATAATTGTTGGTTATATCATATATCCCCATTACACCAGCCTAAAATGGTGGGCTTGATACCTCTGAATGGACAGACCTAGTACAGTAATGAAAACTGCTTGGTTTTTCGCCGGATTTTTGTGTAGTGGTTATCCCGTGTACATATACATGCTTGGTAGCAAAGTGGAAAATCATCATATATTGTATAATGGGCAAGTCTTCATGTTTATCATCAATGAATGGACCATTTTCCATAGCAAACTCTTATATAAATAAGCTAAGATCTATGGGCAAGTTTCCACAACCTATTCTATCCCATGTTTGTAGCTCAAAGGTCCCACAATTCCAGTATACAGGATACACTATTAATAAGTGGTGTTTTTATTTGGATTTCATCATACAATAATCATATTCTATTACCATCTGGTTGTGACTGACATAGCCATAGAAAATCACCATACTATTAAGAACGGTAAGCCATCTATTTCTATGGGCCATCTATACCATGGCAAACTGTTAGTCATAACCAGAGGGTAAATTCCATATCATCCCATGATTCATCATTGTTAACCCATTGTTATTCACCATTAAAACTCACTATTAAATCCCCATTTATAGTGGTTAAATCACCATGTTCCTATGGTTGTCCTGTGGTTTACCACCATTGTCCTATGGTTTTCTTAGGGAATCACCATTAAATCACCAGAATTCTCAATGATTTTCCATTTCGTCGTTTGGTCTTCGCCCCTAGGTCTCAGTGCCACGTGCAGATCCACGGCTGAATGGTGGCAAGCTTCCTTTGAGGCGGGCGTTCTGGTGATTGGAAAAATGGGTAAACCACTGATTTCAGCGGCAAAAAAATCAGTGATGGGGAAACAAATGGCTGGATGAATTAATATGAATTAATCCCAATTTACCTGTGATTTAAGATGAATTAATATGATTTGATTTGAATAATGGTGGTGATATCACAGGTTTAATATGATTTAAGATGAACCAATATGATTTGATTTGATGAGTTGGTGTTTTTTTTTGGCTGGATGTAAAAGCAATTTATATTGATGATATATGGCCGGAGTACCTGAAAATTGGAAACGCATTCTTAGATTATTTTAATCCGTCGCCGGATGTCTTTGGGTACCAGTTTTTTCAGGCAAAGCCAAGTGCTTGCGACGTGGATTATCCCAGAATTGGATGAATGGCAAATTTGCTGGACATCCCTATATACCCTCTGGTTATTTAACATAGCCATGGGAAATGGCCCATTTTCCCATAAAAACCTCCATTTATAAGGGATTTTCCATGGCTATGTTAAATAACCAGATGGTAATATGTAGATATATAATACATTGATAAAGCCATGAAAGAGACACTTTGTTTCGTGCAGCTCTGGCAAATTCGTTTCAACCAACCCAAAGGAGTCAGGAACTATAGCAACGATGGACATATCATGCTTATGCAAGCAGGTGTGCTTGTTTTCCTCAATTATCTTGATTTGTTGTATATATTACATCATGCTATTTATGTGACGCATGTGGGTTATGGGTTTGTCTTGAACTATGGCACCCGACACTCACATGGTCTCTCATCATTGTTTCAACTTTATTGCCGTTTTGGGGTATCCCTCCATTTCTTGACATATCTATATAATATGATCTAATATGTCTGTGTAGGAACTATGAAGAATCATCTCCAAAATCGCCCAACAAGTCTGGTTTGGGAATTTATTAAAACCAATAGCCAATATCCAATGATATGATCTGAATTAGGCCAGTTAACCAGTTTATCTTAATAGTGTGTCCTAGTTTTTCATAGTATTTCGTATTATTTCCTATTATTTATTTCATATCAGTTCCGATGATTTCATATTATCTCATAGTATTTCAAATTGTATTTCATATGTTTCAAAATAGTATATTATGTCGTGTATGGCATAATAACTGGTTGATACATGTAACACATGTACATTGCTGGCGATATTCCCATCGCTCCATCAGGCTGCATCCATTGCAGCAGCCACCTGGCTATGGCACGGCCATAGGCACTGGGAAGGAGTTCTGCACATGTTCTTACATTGTATACATGATATACATGATAATGTGTATATAATTGTATGTATATAATATATATATATACATACACATTTTAATCTATCTAGTCTCTATATATAATATAGTATAATATACACATGTTATAGACAGGTTATCTATTCCGCAACCAAGAGTGTCTCAATGTATCTGAAAACAGAGATGCCTTTTAGAAAAATCGGTGGATGGTGATGGATGGTAAATGCACCGGAACTTCCACACCCACCGAACTAAGGGAGTCGCAAGATTCAATGACCAGAGATGCTCACTTGGATGGCTACTTCGTCGGCAAGTCGTTGACCAAATCAAAAGATCCACCTGCACCGGCGGCCAGTGAATTCCACGAGTTTGCCCAGAAATTGAGGAATTCAACCTATCTGTTGCAATTTTACTGGGGACAAACAAGTTTTTGAAGCATCAGATCTGGGGATAATTGGGGATAATTACATTCATTACCATCTGTTCAGCCAAAACGCCTTTTTTCGCACACATTACCCTCTGGTAATCTAACATAACTATAGAAAATCACCATTTTCAATGGGAAAATCCACTATAAATGGTCATTTTCAATAGCTATGTTAAATTACCAGAGGGTATCATCCTCCATTCTTGTGCCATCGAGGTGAACATTTGGTGATCCCTCCACAGACCACAGTATCTTGGTGGGTTCCAGATGGACTGGGGACGATTTTACTGGATTTGCCTAGGTGAAAGAAAAAGGGTGTCGCAGAGTCCAAATTTGAGACATAGAGAATGAGTGAATTTTAGAGGGCGTATTTTCATTGTATTTTCTGGGGCATTCCCAGAATTGGTATGAATTTGAGGGAAAGAGGCTGAAATAGGAATGCCTAATATTTGGGAACCATGTCCGGTAAGAATCGATTAAGGCATGAAGTTTCACTCATACATATCAAGACATCTTTCAAACCTGGCCGACTGGTTGTACCAGGGGGGTTATACTACTACCCCATATTTTTTTGGATTATCAGAATCCATTATGAGAATCCATATGAACCAAGTATATACGATGAAGGGATGACAGAGTGGTATCACCCCGAGACCGTGCGCAGCAAGGGATGACAGAGGGTTTTGAACACTGCACAGATGTATTTGACACTGTAAGTGTACCGTATATCGGATGACAGTGGCAGTAGTTTGGCGCTGTGCAAAAGCCGTTTACCTGGCAACTTTTGTTAGTGATATCCCATGACATGTACAAAAAACATATGGGGGTGTCCTAAGTCATATGAGGTAGCCCAAGTTCTCATCCAAGTTGTTGCTTTGGGGATTGATTTTTTCAAAAAGAATTGTTGTTATCATACTTCGGAAGTCCTGCGCACCTCGGCTGAGGCAGTCTTCGTGGAACCCCTTGCCGATCCAAAGTGATGAGGGCTATGACCAGCTGCAACATAGGCATACAATGCTTGTACCTATGTGTAAACAAACATGTAAATGACATGAAGCTTAAACACTTGTGGGGCATTTCGTAAAGATGTTTTTTTGGTTTTCATCTTTATGCCTTCGCAGTTGGTAGCCATAAAAGTTGGTACAACAATGATACAACAACATTAAATATTCGCGGCTGTCGTCGGCTGAGACCTGACCGGCATTGCTGGAAAAACTGGGAAATGACTTGCTGGTGTTCTGGGTAAAGCTGGCTTTGTCATTGATAGCTGAAATTTTGGCCATAGGTGAATGCACAATAATATATATGAAGATATAATATGTATAGATATATACATATATGTACAATATATGATCATCAATAGCAAGGTTCTCCTGCTACTAGACATTTGCTGATTTCAGAACAGCCCTAGCTTTGGGTATCGTGTTGCTAGCCATTGTCATCACCTCGCATGCCCAACGGAGGACTGGGCAATGGATGTTTGAAATTCTTTCTGTCCCTCAATGGATTGGTTTTGTTGGGAAAATCTACAGGAAACCATAGAGCTTCTGATTCAATATCCCTCAAGGTTGAGGCCATGATTTCGAAGTGTTGAGGGTCCGTTTCCGCCATGCTACTTAGGTAAACCAGCAACCAGCACAAGTATTGTTGGTGAAGCATTGTGAGCGAAGATACTGTAGGCTGGTGGTGCCCCCTAGCTCTAAGTTGATCAATAGCCCCATCTAAAGTTATATAATTTATGATGAAATCACCCTAGACCCTGGTGATTTGTTTCGTTATTTATAAACTAACTTAGCTAACTGACCACTCTGGTGATCAGCAGTGGAGGTTGAAGGGGTTGAAGAAGCGCTTGGGCGGCGTCTTCGACAATTCAGATGCCGGGCCCGAATTCTTGGCCAAGATGCTGAATTCTTTCTTGCTTGGTATATTTTGGCGTGGTTTCACATCCGTTGACTATGATGTTCTGAATTGTCATGTATTGTTATTTGAGGCAAGGTAGAAAACAATTTTTACCATCATCTATACATCATATCTTTGAACACTTGCTGGGTATGGGGTGTTTTTTCATTAAATCGACCATTATTAGAGAAGGACCTCTATTTGTGTTGTTTGTAATCCATTTGGCTGGCGGCTGCTTCGTATTCCTGGCTGGTTGTTTCTACTTGTTTTTTTTACATGATTTGGTAGCTTAGTATTTTGGAAAAAAAAACACGTATCATACGGGATGGGGCCCCATAGTTAGCTAAGTTGGCTTATAACTACAACTATAATAACAATAGTGTATGATACTTATAACTTATAACTATATTTAGATGGTTTTCTTAACCAACTTCTAACTGGGGGGGGCCCATCCTGTACCATAGCCCAAACATAGCCCAGAAAGTGTTTCTTTCCATCTACTAGGGATGCTGATCCCGGCCGAGATGGTGGGTATTTTATAGATAGCTAAGTTGGTGCAAATAACTCCAATAACTACGGTATATAGGTGACATATCTATAATAGACTAATAGTTAATGGGTTTATCACCAATTTATAACTAGGGGGGACACCACCTTGTATCAGGGGAATATGATTGAGTGGTAGCGAAGAACAATCAGATCTACAAATGGACAAAAATGCCGAAATATCCCACTTCCATCCGCTAGCTATCTAGAGCTGATGTGTTTGGAATGGAGTGAACCATCATTTTCAGCTTGGATTGTCCAAAAAATGTGTATTTTGTTTCTATGTCGAAATTAACATACGAGGGACATGGTTTGAGTTAGAGTTAAACTCCCTATTTGTTGAACATGGATCATGGTTGTTAGCTAAAGAAATTCATCCATGTTTTTGTTTTTTGTTTTTTTTTCGGATGTTGTAGTTTACATACTATACCAATATTTTAACATGTATATTACGCTTATGCCATCACCACTATAGGATATGTTCTACCATATATATTGTGCATGAACATTTACAAGTCACATCCCCATGTTTTGGCAGCATTTTTTACTTTTCATATGCCCCCCCATCAAACATCTCCATAAACTGGTTGGGTATATATATATATGCGTATATATGTATGGATATATATATATATATGTATGGATATATATATATATGTATGGATATATATATATATGTATGGATATATATATATATGTATGGATATATATGTATGTATATATATATGGATATATATATATATATATATGTATGGATATATATATATGTATGGATATATATATATATATATATATGTATGGATATATGTATATATATATATATGTATGGATATATATGTATGGATATATATATATATATATATGTATGGATATATATGTATGGATATATATATATATGGATATATATATATATATATGTATGGATATATATGTATGGATATATATATATATATATGTATGGATATATATATATATATGTATGGATATATATATATGTATGGATATATATATATATACCATTCTATAATCTAGATAGGGATTGTCTTTATTGTCAGCCGATCATGTGCAGAACAACCTATTTGCATGGATGCAAGTCCTTCCTAGCATGGTGCTGTCGCAGGTCTATAAGGTACAACAATAAAACATAGATATCCGAGAACACCACTTATTGGAGCATGGCCTTTTCCCAATGGTTTTCCTATGGTTTCCACATTGATACTATATAGTTTACCCCATCTTGAGCCCATGTTCTGCGCCAAAACCTGTGGGAAATCTTCGGTAGGCCGTCCTGCGCGGCATCGAACACATCTACTCCGTGCCCGGTGCCTAGGAAAGTGCCGCAGCAGCGGTGCCGCAGCTGGGTCAGAGGGAACCTGGAAATCCGCTCGAAATATCGGGGTTTCCATAAATGGGGGTACCCCTAAATGTATGGTTTATGTTATGGAAAATTCATGAAAATCCTATTAGAATGATTTAGGGGTACCCCCATTTATGGAAACCCCCATATGTTTTTTTTTAGAAAATCTACTTTAGTTCGCTGGAAAAATCATGATGTAAAGATGAGAGTTCCCAGCACGCCATGTTTGATTACCAGAGGGTTTATACGTTTCTTTGTTTCTTGTCCAAAAATTCACAAAGAAATCAGTTTGGAGGTTATCGGAATGTGTCAAGGGCATTTTGCAGATTTGCACGGAACTGCTGAAATGGGACGGGGGATGGCAATTATATTTTTTCCGTGTGGAAACGTGTGGAAATTTCTGAAGGTTTAGGTTCAGCATGAGTCTGAGATGTCAGCATGAATCATATGTGCCATGGCCAAAGCATGGATTATAGGGATTTATATGGATTTTCATAGGGATTTATAGGGATTACTCAATATTGGCAATCCATTTTCGGACTTTCTTTCGGAGATGGATGATCATACCCCCACTAATCCCATGGACACTGGCGCACACGGATAAAGTTAAGATATGTATCGTTGATCGGGTTCCTCAACCAGGGTTTTTATGCATGATGATTGCATTTTATGGGCGTTGAAATTTCATATACATGTACTACATTATGTATATATATATATATATTGTTTTTTTCGAACTTGGATGCCATCCTGGTTTATTGCATGGATCCAAATCACACAGGTTAGAGCCCGTCTTGGAGAGCGAATTGATGCAGTGCGTCCGGAATCCCGAAGTACGCGATGCATCGCACTTGTTTAAAGCTTGAACATGGCGATAAAATGTTGATAAATTAAACTGGTTGGTGGTTTGGAACATGGTTTTTATTTTTCCATAATATTGGAAATAACAATCCCAACTGACTAATATTTTTCAGAGGGGTTGAAACCACCAACCATGTAAATGATGTTCATTGCCATTGGGGCGCAAGATGGCACCAAACACAACAATGGTAAACAGTGAAGCACCCAATTTGGGGCCCCAAAGTGAACAGATCTAATACGATCCAATTATAGTCCAACCTCCAGAGTAGAAACTTTGTAGCAGCACTTTTATTGCTATCCTGAGACGATGTTTTTTTTGTTTTGGCTTTCATATTTCGCAGGGATGTGGCCCACCTGCTTGGGTTCCCCTTATGTATCCCCCATTGGTTCCTGCCGCAGGCACTTGAGAAGCAAGATGCCATCGACAGGGATCGGATTTCCTTGATGGGTGTCGGGCAGCCAAAAAGGGCCCATGGCCAAATTCATCGCGCGGTGGACGGCTTGACCGTGTAGCTTTGTGGAGGGGTTGATGCAGGAAGCCATCCTTGTCCAATGAGTTTAGGGATAACGTGACTCGCTGCTTCTCAAACGTGTACCTGGAAGGTGTTCCCAAGTGACAGGTTGTTGGCGTGATGTTTGTAGGTATTTGAACTATGTGAACTATTGTTGGTGTGCAACATTACCAAAAGTTGTTTGCGAGGCAGGTTTATAAGTGCACAAATGTAACATGCGGCATGTGGCACATTTGGGAATAACATGGGGCATACAGCACTGTGGAGTAGATACGAAAAAAATGACCAAGAACGCATGCGTATGGCTCAAAAATTGACACTTACGACACCTTTAAACAAAATAAAAACATGTAAGTTATAGTGTAGAATTTGTTAGTATGTCTTATATAGATGTAGACAGACCCAACAAACAATGATTGAATCAAGACCACATGATGATTTATTCTGATTTATAGAATGCTATAGATATCTATAGATATTTATGCAATTATATATTAGGGATTTCCAAGAAAACCATTGTACATGTTGATTAAACCATTGTAAACATGGACGGTGACGTCGAGTGGCCACTATGGCGTGGCTCAGCTGAGGTGAAGGATGATGAGTCTGGATCCTGGGGGTACCCCGATAGCTGGATGGTTTATGTCAGGGAACATCCATGGATGGTTAATGGATGATTTAGGAATGGTTAAAATGGATTCTTTAGGGAGTTAACATATGTTAAAAATGGATGATTCAATGATTCAGGGGAAATTACCACCATTTTAGGAAACTTCCATATGGTTTAAATATATAATGATGGTTT